TCACTTTCTTTTGACCATAAGAAAGCGAAGCTAGTCAAAAATTTCATCTCAATAATAATGCCCATGTTTCTTAATAATGATGTCATGTCTCCAATATCAACAAATATCATTTATCTATATCCACAAGAAACTGTTATTTGAATCAAAATGATTGTTTTCTTAGGCCATTAGGTGTACACGCAAACAATATTGTGAAATTATCTATATTAGAGAGAGAGAGAGAGAGAGAGAGAGAGAGAGAGAGAGAGAGAGAGAGAGAGAGAGAGAGGAAATAAGATAGACGGAGAATGGAAGAAAGTGTAAGAGAGTGAGTGAGAATAGAAAGAAAGGGAGGAAAAGAATGTGTGAGGGTGAGACAGAGAGCTTGTTTTTTATTTTACTTTAGTATATGTTCTACTTTAGTATATGTTTGTTTTAGTATCAATTATGCTCTTTCCAGAACTAGTTTTTTTCTTTACATCTACTTGTTTGCGAGTGTCCCTGGATAACAATTATAGGAGCTACAGCTTGCAGCTGCAGAGTTTACCAAGAGCTAGAGCTTGCCAGGAGTTTAAGTGATTTAGTTTAGGACTTTTGGAGCTTTTCTTTCAAATTTCTATTTTCTTAGTTTTATGAGTTTTAGTTTTAGTCGATGTGTGTTATTTTAAGTTGCTTTGTGTGAACATTATTCTACTTTTTTAATGTATTTAATTAAAAGTTTAATTAATTAGATTAATTAATTAGATTAATTCATTAAATCTTAATTTTAATTAATTAAGAGAAATATTTATTAAAGTTTAAATTTAGTTTAAAATTAATTGCCAATTCATCAATATTTTAAAATTATTTAAATTAAATTTGTTGCTTAATTTTATTCGTTTAAGTTTAATTAATTCTTTTTTAAAAGATTTAATTTTAAATCAATTAGTTTAATTAATTATGGTTTTGTTTTATTTTAACTAATTGACAATTTAAATTTTAAATTAAGATACTTAATTTAATGTTTTAAATTTAGCTGTTGTTTGGCAACAAGTGGGATTTAACTTTAGTGGGATATAATAAATCCTACAAATCCGGATTTAGTAAATCCAAAATGTGTTAAATCCTGAAAACTTTTTGGTATATCAAATGTTAAATATTGTTAAATTTAGAGAAATTGTTTGGTAACATATATCAGGATTTATGGCGGCTAGGGATTTAAAATTAAAGGAGACATTTATGAAATTAAGATCATTGCAAAAAATATAATAAAACAAATTTTAGTTCATACAAAATGACCGAAAAATTAATAAAACTTAAATTACAAACTAATATTGACTAAAGTGATAGATGAAGTATTAAATAAGTTATTATATTAATATTTAATTACTAATTATATCATTAATTAGTCAACTAAGTTAAATTAGATAATTAATTTTTGCACTAATTATACTATTAATTATTTAATTAATGTAATTATTAATTGTTTAAATTATATTAATTAAGTTAATTAATAATAACTTTGAGCGTCTAGGGTTTGCCTTTCATCTTCTCTTTTCGTCGTTGTTGTTCGGCTTCGTTGCTTCACAGGAGGTGTAGAGATTGCGCGCGTCGCT